TCTCTCTCTCTCTTTCTCTCTCTCTCTCTCTTTTGTTTCTCTCTCTCTCTCTCTCTCTCTCTCTCTCTCTCTCTCTCTCAACCCTTCTCCATTGCAGAACTAGGCCTACATACATGAAAATTAGTTGTTGGGTTGTTTTTTTTGTCCTTAAGCTGTTTATGTACAGAGCTAACTCTCCAGTCTTGAGTATTGCTAATAATAACAATACACCGATGGCTAGGTAACACGACCCCCCCCCTCCCTCGTGTCATCTGAGGTAGGTGTAGCTTCTACTCTTCATGAGGGCAACATTCCATTATTTCGGTTTAATTACATTGACAAACGTGAAGCATTTTTACAACTTCATCGACATAATTTAAATCTTTTAGTTTCTGTTGGCGGGCTTCGACCCTGTCTATCAGGGCTAACTCGTGTTATGGGGGATACAGTGTTCCACCATTGAGACCGACATTAGAGATTTTAAAAAAATTCTTATAAAGAACGAAAAATGATTGCCTTCTCGTCCCGAGCCCTCTGACGGACAGACAACGCACTGAAAAAATGTACATTTAATGTGTCACGAGTTTCGACATGGTGGAATCAGGTGTTCATATTTTTTTTTGCATTTGCAGCTATTGGTATCATATCAAAGCATGCTCATTAAAATTTGTCTTGCATTTGGGGGAAAAATACTCATCTACCTAGAATAGAAATCGAGAAATGTATTGGCACTAAAGGGGGTGGTGGTTTCATGGGGTCAGAGGTAAATTTAGTGAGAAAATGGCCACAAAAGTTTGGTGAATTTCCAATGTTTGAAAGCCCTAGGAATCTGCAAATTTTTAGGTGCCTTTGATCAACTTTTGCAAGTAAAAAATTCATTCATAAATGTATTTTTTAATGGACCTAAGAGGTGTTGAGTCAGAAAACAGTTGACAGAAATTTCCCAAAGGGTCGACAATTGTCAGTTTTCTTCGATTTCATTATAATTTTGATGAGCTCATGATTTCACCACGACGCTAGACAAATTATACTACGGTTGTTGTAATTTAATGACTGTCTTGTTCTCTCTCGGATTTCAGTTAATTGCACAGGTGGTGGCAAAGACACGTGGTATTGTGGCACCGACCCGAATTACCTACTGAGCAACTGTGACGCACCTTTCGTCTCCTCTGCCTGCCCTTTCCAGTGCAACTTATGTCCCTGTAAGCTTGTGCGGCATTTTCATAGAAACGACTTGATCTGACAAGATCATGATAAAAAAGAAAGGAAGAAACCCCAATAACATTGTTGACCTTCTAGTGATGTCTATATAACCTTCATTGCTATAGATAGATAGATAGATAGATAGATAGATAGATAGATAGATAGATAGATAGATA